TCTATGCTTGGCTTGGAGCTGAGATCTCCTGATTTATCTCATTACACATCTTCAGCTCTCAGTGCACGCTGCAGGGACAGGAGGTCACTGTCACAACCTGCCCTGTGTCCTAAAGCCCGGGACAAACCCTTGTGATCTCCCAGATTTCCCCAACAGCATCCCCAGAGGTTATTCCATGTCTGCCCAGCCTCAGAAACAGGGAAATCAAAGCCCAGCCTGTCTTCCCTGTTCCATCAGTGACAGTATTGAGTGCTGGCAACACCACAGGGTGTTTTTCTGTTTGCTCGTGTCAAATGAAGCAGGATTTGATTCAGATTCTGCCCTCAGCACACAAAAAGTTACCGAAAATACATCAATGAGAGTCTGGTTACCACTCACAGAGTCCCAGAATGCCACTGGAGTGGGAGAGAGTTTAGGGATGGAGAGACAAAGAAAATGCATGGAAGGGAAGAACAGGCAAATGAGAAAGAATTCCCCACAGGAGAGCTCTGTCCTCATGAAAACCAGCACCAAAACCCACTTTGTGACTGACACATCCCCACATCTCCCCAGCTGTCTTTCCAGGCTGAATTCCCAATGGATGTGGATGCAGAACTCCGGCCACATCACAGCTGTATAGAGCTGTATAAAGGTCTTTCCTCCTAAATTTCAGCCAGGGACAGAGGATTGAGGGCAAGATTTTCCAAGGGGGCTTACACTGGCTGTGCAAAACTCCCATTTGGTGAAAAAAAGGCACCTGGAAGAGGCTCTCTCCCCACTGCCCTTCCCTCCTCCCTGCATTTCCCTCTGCGCTGCACTGACTCCATCCCAACATCCAAACTGATCAAACAGGAACTCAGATCCCTCCAGAGCAGCGCAATTCCCAACTGAGAACCCAGCAAGGAGCAGGGAGAGGGGTTTGTGCTGCTCCTCCAGCCAGGGATGGGCAGCTCCAGCAGGCAGGAGAGGGGTGACGTGTCTCCCTCTCTCCTCTCAGGGTGGGGTATTTCAGCTGGGACATTTCCTCTCTCCTCTCAGGGTGGCAAAATGGGATTCTCCTCCTCTTGGACACAGCTCCTGCACTGCCAAGGTGAGCTGCAAGCTGCACCTTCCAGCTGCCCATTTCTCGGCCCCCAAAAAAGCCATAAAATGAGACAGAAGTGCCTCAGAACCCACTGCAGCCAAGGCCAAGAAGCCTCAGCTAAATCCACCCAAGATCCCTCCCAAAATCACTGCAAGCTCTTTTCTTGGAAGCCCCTGACTTGAGAAATCTGTCCCTTGAATGAATAAATGGGATTTCTGGAGAGCTCCTGCTGAAGATGGAGCACCTGGAAGGAAAGAATTGATTCATCTTTGATCTAAAACAGCTTTGCCACCACGGCTGGGACTGGTGAGGGAGGGGTTTGGTGGGACATTGCTCACCCCAAATCCCAAATCAACATCCCAAATCACTGTGGGCACCCAAGGGAGCCACAGGATCAACCAAGCACTGGCACAGCCAGGAGGGAATTGTTCCCTGAACATTGTCTGGTGCATTATCCCAGTGCCAGAAATGGAGCTGAAAGTGCAAACAAAAAGTTACATTAATTTTTCCTTTCAATATTATAAAATAACCTTCAACATAAAAATATCTCCTTGCACAGAGCGTGAAATTTCAACCTTTTCCAGGCTACTTCCTAATTTTATCTCTATTTAATTCCTCTGCATTTCCACAGGATCCATTTAAAAGGAATCCAATTGAAATTGGGAACATTTCTCAAAATGTTCTGCTTGACCCAAAATTTCCCTTTGAGAGATTCATCGAGAACTTTTGATTTTCATCCTTAACTGGTCTAGAAGAGAAACACACATTTCTCATGGACTAGCCACAAGAACACAGATTTAAAAACCAAACTGAACCAGTTGTTTAGACTGCACTCAGTTAAAAAAAAATCGGTTTTCCCCCATTTCTTTGCTGTTTTTTGTGGCTGAATTGATGCTTCAAGGCTGTGTCAGGGCAGTGGCTCATGGAAGGGGAAGGGGAAAGGGAAGGGGATGGAGTTAAGGAAGAAAAAAACAAGAAATCCCAACAACAACAAAAATAACCAAACCAAAACAAAAAAAAAAAAAAAAAGGCAACTCTAATTTGAATAACTTCCCATCTTTCTAGGAAGGAAAGAAGGACATTTTAGGAGTCTGCTGATCCTTCCCTGCGCTAACAAAGAATGTCCTCGGGATGCGCTGGGAATCTCCAGCCACAACCCCAAGTGCACTCAGGCGAATTACTGACGGACAACAGGAAAAAAAAGGTGGAAATCCTTCCCAGGTGCCCCGAGCCGGCAGGGAAGGACTCCCCAGCTCCTGTGGCTGCCCTCCTCCCCTCCGGGGCGGCAGAGCAAGAGCAGCCGGCAGCAGGTGGAGTCCCCGCTCCGATGCGCCGGCCGAGCGCGGGGATCCCTCCCGCAGCCCCGCATTTAATTAGGCGGATTTGGAGCTCGTTAATGCTTCTGCAGGAGAGGGCCCCGGGGGCAGCAGCCGCGCCGTTGTCTCCGGAGTCTCTTAATTAACTCGGCGCTGATAAGGAGCGAGGAGCTGATTAGAGCGGGGGTCGGGAGGCGGCGCGGGGTGCGCGGTCCGGGCGCGGTCAGGCGGTGCGCTCCCGCCGCAGCTCCGGGGCTGCTTTAATTGCCACAAACAAAGGCAGCGCTAACGAGGAACCACAGCTTTGTGGCAGGAGGAAATTCCCGTCCAGCCGCCGGTTTGTTGCGGGGTTTCTGCTCAGGAACTAACTCCTTGGGCAGTGTCCCGACAGGGAGGGAAAGTGGTGGAGGAATAGGGGGAAAATTCATCCTAGGATCCTAGCCTGACCCAGAAAAAGCTGCTGCACCCTCAATCCTCTCCCCTGACACATTTATCCTGAGTTAGCAGGAGAGGAGCACACAATGCCTGGAAAACTACTGGCACCCCGACGGGTTTGAATTATTAAGAGCACCCCATCAGCCTCTGGGACACGAGCTGCTCTGGGAATGATCCCCAGCCGTGAATAAATTCGGGACAGTGGAGCGCTGCTGTGGGAGACGAGGCTGAGTTTGGTGAATAAATGATTTGCCATGAATAATTCACCCCGACCTAGTTGGAATGATTCTGCTCCCGTTTAACTCTTCTGTTGGCCTCACAGAGCTCATCCTGGTGGAGCAGAGCCCAGCTCTGAGCTCATCCCGTGGAATCACAGAATCCCAGAGTGGTTTGGGTTGGAAAGGACCTCAAAGCTCACCCAGTGCCACCCCCTGCCATGGGCAAGGACAGTGAGCAAATCCTGACACACCAGAGTGAAGTCAAAGTGGTTTTCTTCCCTGTTTTCATCTGACTGGATAAAAGAGATTTTAAAATTAATGGAATCATGGAATCATTCATGATGGAGAAGATGTGTGACATTATTGAGTCCAACCACTGACCCAGCACTGCAAGGCCACCCCTAACCCGAGTCCCTGAGTGCCACATCCACATCTGTAGGGTTTTAAATCCCTCCAGGGATGGTGATTCCACTGCCTCCCTGAGGAGCCTCTTCCAGGGTTTAGGAATTGTTCCAGTGRAGAAATTTTTCATCACATCCAACCTGGCCCATCCTGAGGCCRTTCCCTCTCCTCCTGTCCCTGYTCCCTGGAGCAGAGCCCGACCCCCCCGGCTGTCCCCTCCTGTCAGGGAGTTGTGCAGAGCCACAAGGTCCCCCCTGATCCCCCTTTGCTCCAGGCTGAGCCCCTTTCCCAGCTCCCTCAGCCCCTCCTGGAGCTCCAGACCCTTCCCCAGCCCCATTCCCTTCCCTTGACTCGCTCCAGCGCCTCAATGCCCTTCTGGCTGTGAGTGGCCAGAACTGGACACAGGAATTTGGGTTCCTCCAGCCTTTCCCCCCTCCCCAGTGAGGACAGAGCTCTCCTGGTGCCTGAGCAGCGCATCCGGAGGATCTCAGGCGTGCACCTCCGGGAAGCAGCAAAGCCACGCACACGGAACTGCAGGGGCTGGTCAGGCTGACCAAGGAGAACAGTTGAGAAAGAGGAACCAGAAAACAGCAGAAAGGAAGGACAGCAGCCAAGGAGGCTGCAAAGAGGGGAAATCCAAACGAAAAACAGTGTGGACRTACTGAGAAGRCAACAAGACAGAGGGAAAACACACAAAACTTTTGAAGAGGAGTGGGAAAAGTAGACACGGAAAGAAAAAGGGGGGATTTGAGGGGCAAAAGAGCTTTTGCTGGGCAGGACAGTCAGGGTTTGTAAAAATCAGAGGGAGAGGGCAAAACCAGGGCAGAGACCAAGGCCTGGCTGCTGCTGGCGCTGACTGAGCTCCACTTGCAGGAGTGGGGGGTCCATGTCCCCCTCCAGGCTGGATCTGGGGGGGCTTCACTGTCCTCCCCAAGTCTGTCACCCATTTGGGGGGACATGAGTGACACCACAAGGGGACACCTGGCAGGAGCAGGACAGGGGATGCCACACCCCACCACAGTCACAGGGGAGATGCTCAGCACCAATCCATGGATGTGCTGCCCACAGTTCGAGGAGCCCTTCTGGTGGTGTCTCTGTTTAATTGTTTTGCTCATTCCTACAGCACTGTCCACTCTAACTAACTTCAATCTAATTACGAGGAGGAAAAATCAACGTTCTACTGAAGGGTTGGTGACCCAAAGAGCTCCAGGAAGAAAAATGGGGATCTACTGGGGAGGGGTAATTTGCTCATTATTCACCATCCCCAAATTAACCTCAATGGAAGCAGAAAGAGAGAGAAGAGAGAGGAACACTGATAGAGAGCAGAGACAAATTCAGGAACACAAACTGATGTGCCAGAGTTTCAAAGACCAGAAAAAAAGTTATTAAAAAAAATATATAAATATTAAAAAAAATTAAAAATCAGAATATCCAAAATCTCGCTCGGAAAGCAGAGAAAGCACCGGGAAAAATCCAGAAGAACAACACCAAGGCCACAGAAACCCCACTTCAGCCACGGCACGAGAAGCTGGCGGTTGGGCAGGAGCTCCTGGGGAGGGTTTCTACCTTATAGGCAACACGAGCTGGGCATTTCTTCCCAAGGCCTAGAGGTGGGGACATGTGTCTCAGCATCTCATACATGTCTGTGTAACTGATGCGCCCGCTGGCACCGCAGCGACCGAGGCAAAAGCAACAGGACACAGAAATCCAGCGGGATTGAGGCGGGGAAAACGGGGAACGGGTGGGGGGAAAGGCAACACAGTGGGAAAAATGAAAGGGAGAGAGAAGGGAAAGCAGACAAGAAAACAGAGATCTGGTTAATCAGATTTCTCCGGGAAACAAAATCAAACTCAAGAGGTGGGGTGGGAGAAGGGTGGATCCGCTTCTGTTGCTGTGGTTCAGTGCCCAACGTCTCCTCCTCCTGCAGGGACACGGCCCGTGGCCATGGGGAATGCTGGATGTCCCCTGGGGGATGATGGATGTCCCCTGGGGGATGATGGATGTCCCCTGGGGGAGAAGGGGTGGCAGGGCTGGGTTTGGCTGGCTCTGGTGGGGTGGGGAAGGAGGGTTCCCCATGGACCCCCAAACCAGCCCGTTCACCATGCCAGGGAGGGCTGGGAGGCAGAGTTATGGGACAGGGCTGGAGCAAAGTGCCAGCTTTCCTTCCAGGGACCAGCACTGTGGGTTGGGGTTGAGATGAGGGAGAAGCCAATTGTGGGGTGTTTGCTGAGGGACAAACTGGGACCATTCCCATCCCAATATCAGGGACAGACTGGGACCATTCCCATCCCAATATCAGGGACAGACTGGGACCATTCCCATCCCAATATCAGGGACAGACTGGGACTGTTCCCATCCCAATACCAGGGACAGACTGGGACCATTCCCATCCCAGTATCAGGGACAGACTGGGACTGTTCCCATCCCAATATCAGGGACAGACTGGGACCATTCCCATCCCAATACCAGGGACAGACTGGGATTATTCCCATTCCAGTCTGAGGCTGGGACTCTGCAAATCCCCGCTCCAGCCAAACCAGAGCCCAGCACTGGCAGTGGTGGGAAGGGGATCTGTTTCTCCTTCATTTCTCCCTGTTTTTCACCAAGCCAGCCTCAGCTCTGGCCTGGCTGCTTCCACCCTTCTCCTTCACCTCTGCTCGCCAAGAAACTCCCTGCTGTAGCTGGTCCCCACTGAAGCCCATCCTGTGCTGATTTCTCCATGAGATCTGTCCCAAATCCCCCACCTGGGCTCCCAAGCACACCACACCCCATCTGTGCCGTGAGCAGGAGCTTTCCCTGAGTATCCACCACAGTTTGGGGACATAATTTAACCCCCAAAACAACCTCCGGCTGTAGCACCACGCAAAACTCACCCCTCACCTCTCCCCACTCAACCACTGCCCAGATCCAGGCATTTTCCAGCTCAGGAAAGGGAAAATTGCTCATTCAGCTGGAACAGCAACACCACAAATCCCAAACAAACTTGCTGCTCGCCGGGAACCTTGGGGTGCCTTTTTTTCTGGAATATATTGGGATGCTGGGAAGCTTTTCCCCAACATTTCCTGCCTGGAGCTGGCAGGATGGAAGCTGGAGGGTTCACTGTCTCATAAAACTGCCTGGCCCCAGCCAGCTGGGGTGTGGGAGGACACGGGGAAGGGATGCACGGAGGAWAAAGGAGGCAGTCAGTCCATCATTCCTTGTTTTTTTCAGGCAAGGGATTCATCAACGTCGCGATTTCTTTTCTCCGCCGTTTGCATTTGCACTCGGGGGAGGGAAAAAGGGATAAAAAGGAGCAGGATCAGGGCTAGAGATGCTGGAGAGATCTCTGAGATTCCAAACCTTGTAGGCCACCCTATGAGGGCACTTCTTTCCTAAGCCCAGGGGTGGAGCAATTACACGTAACAAATTGTACATATCCTTATAATGAATGCGGCAACTGGAAAGGAAACGGCACAGGTTACGACAGTGAAATCCGGCAGGAATCGGCTTTTCCAAGGGAAATGGGGAAAAATCAGCTTTTCCCAGGAAAAATGGGGCAGAATCAGCTTTTCCCAAGAGAAACCAAGGAAAAATCAGCTTTTTCTCAAGGGAAACCGAGGAAAAATCAGCTTTTCCCAGAGGAAACGGGGAAAAAATCAGGTTTTCCCAGGAAACATGGGGCAGAATCAGCTTTTCCCAAAGCAAATGGAGAAAAATCAGGTTTTTTTCCCAAGGGAAAATGGGAGAAATCAGCTTTTCCCAAGGGAAACCAAGGAAAAATCAGCTTTTCCCAAGGGAAAC